TGTCCCCTCGCCCGCGCAGGGGTGTGCGCCACGACGCGCGGCGTGTCTCGAAGACTGGAGGTGCGGCCGATGTCGGCCAGGAGCGTGTTCGAGGCCGGGTGCACCGACAGGCTGCTTGACACGTGACCCATCTGCGAGCTTGGTCGGGAGAAGGTCTGCAACTCGTCTAGCAGAGCGTCGAGTGCGTTCTCCGGACGCTGCTGATGGTCGGCGGATGACTCGTGAGGGTGGCCCCCTCCCCCGAGGACGCTCGCTGACCCCACGACAGTGCGTTCCGCTGGCACAGGGGCAGTTGCCTGTTCGTTCAGACACGTGGAATCAACGGTCGGACCAAGAACGTCGCGCCGGCCGGCCGGCCGACCCGGGTGGGGCCCGGCTCTGCCTCGCGGCGTCGCGCCAGCGGTCTCACAGGAGCTGATTTCCCCTGGAGGACGCGGACCGCCGCGTCGGGTGTTCTTCCGCATGCTGGCGCGACGCACTCTTGGCATCGTAGGATGAATCGTGCTTTATTTTTGCGCGCTCTCGTTGAGAAGAAGCATCCCATGCGATCGTCTCCAGTGATGTCTCGGTTCCGGTACCTCGCGAGGTGACGCGCGAGTTTTTGATGTAAAAACGTGTATAAAGTACACAACGACACATATAGATACTTACGCGTTTGTAGACACGACGTACAATACATAGAGACACATATAGATGTATAAGGGTGTAGAGAACGATAATAATATAAGAACTCGAAAATCGCATATGAAAATCGACTATGTACACTTGATCGTATGTACAGAGATACATTTTTAAAATTTGATTCTTGGTGCTTGGTGCAGACCGGAAGTAGTCCAGTACCGGATGTTGAAAGTGTCGTGTATCATGATACACTTTCTCGTTTGCAGTATGCCGTCGCTGCGGATGCTTTTTCTGACAACGAGAGCGGTGATCGTAGAAAGTGGCGTCTCGATGCGAAGATCCGAATAATGAGATTGGAGGAAGGATGAATTGCGAAAAAGAGATAACAGAGTGATGATACTTGAAAACACGGATCACGCAAAGTCCGATATTGCCTCATGATTGATTGTTCGTTGTACATATTCATTAATATTATTTATTTTTCTAATAAAATTATTACGAAAGTAAAAAATTATTCAATAATTTTTATCATACTATTTGGCGACTCTGAAATTTCTCATAACTATAATTAAGAATTATATGCTAATTCTTATTAGGTAATTATACAGGAGTAATCCTTCCAGTGAAAGTATTCTAAAATATTTTAAAAGATGATTCCACACATTAATTTAAGATGAAAACTTGACATGTCCAAAATAACTTAATTTTAAAGATACAGGATGTCAAAATGGAAGGAAAAATTTCATCTTTTTTTTTTCAAAAATTTCAAAAATCACTTGGGTTATTTTTATAAAATTTTGTATATTCCAAGAACATAAAATTCCATTAAAATAACTCGAACGGTTTACAAAATTTTAGGAAAAAACTATATTTTTTTCATAGATACATCTTTAAAACTAAGGCATTTTACATACATAAAGCTTTGTCTTAAATTAATCACCTCTTAAAATCTTTTAGAGTATTTAAAGACCGTCCTCTATATATGCAATATCTTAACGTATAATTCAATTCAAATATTCGATTTAATTCACATTCGGACTTCGCGTTTCGTGTCATTGAATCGCGTAAACATTTTTTTGCGACGAAGACGCACTTCGATACACCACGATCGTACGATCGGATGATCACGAGTCGAATTTCGTCTTTTTTTTTTCTATGTCATGCGTATATGTGCGAATAATGTGCATGCGTAATAACGATGTGACAGAAGAGAGAGCATGATTATGAGAAGATGAACGATAAGAGACGTAATGAGCGTAAATCATGGAAATGCAGAATATAGTGAACGACGAAAGAAAAGTGAAAGAGAAAAGACGCGCGAGAGAAAGAGATGGATAAGAGAGAGAGAGAGAGAGATATAGAAAGTCATAGAAAGAGAGAGAAAGAGAAAAAGACGGATAGAAAGAGAGAAAGAGTAAGAGAGAGAAAGAGAGAGAGAGAGAGAGAGAGAGAGAGAGAAAGAGAGAGAGAGAGAGAGAGCGCAATGATGAGTCGTGAATCGCAATAAGTGAACGAAAAAAAAGGCACAATCGTAGAATATAATACGTAAATATGATTAATTCCGTTAGATAATTACCTGCGGATCGGTTATACGTTTTGTGCGTGCGTTGTGCGTGTTACAAGTCAGTACTCGTTTGGGGCTCTTTTACATTTGGCATCGATTGCTGTCCGGTATTAGTCAACTTAAAAAAAAAAACAGAGAAACCAAAAATCAAAAATCCGAGGTCAGAGGTCATAATCATGGACCGCGCGGAGAGAACAGAAAAGAGAGGCAGAGAAAAAGAGAAAGAGAGAAAATTCTCTTACTTCTTCGCGAAAATTTTTCGTTTCTTGTTTTTCGTTTGTTAACGCGAACGCGCCAAAAGTCGAGGGTGAATCACGCCAAGGACCGCGAATTATGTAAAAGGACTAAGGAAAATCGTGGAAGTCTTCTTGAAGATCCAACGCGACGTTTACTGAGTATTTCACATTGTATTTCACAGTGCGACAGCGTGAGATTGTCCAGAGGAAAATTGTAGCGATCGTTGAAATCTCTTCGATTGATAAATTAATATTTACAATATAATTGTTGAAATTAATTACACTATGAAGGGCACAATCGGAAGTCACGATTGAGTGAGAGCTCGCTGCTATTTCCAAGGAACACACCAAGTCAAAAGAAAGTCAAAATGACGTTGACATCAAAATAATGATTTTTGGTTACAAAATATGATTATTTTATTTATTTTAAGCATCAAAATAAAATCATTTTAACGTCATTTTGATTTTTTGTTGACTTTTGCGTGTGCCTTGAATTGTTATACTCTTTAAGATTTATCATAGCTTTAAAGATTTACTTCATATAAGCAACAATTACTGAGGACTCACTTAATCACTTCGAAACAAATCATAATAACACCAAAATGACATTAAAATGGCCCCAAAATGATTCCAAAATGATTGTTAAAATCATTTTTCGATCAGTCATGATTCACTTTAACGTCATTTTTGACGTTATTGTGATTTGTCCTGCTCGAATTATAACTTCTGATTGCAACCTCGCACTGTCGGATTTATTCTTGGCGTGATCACCTCTGATCTTATCGAGTATCTCATACGATATTCTGCCCGTCGTCCGTACGATCGACATCCGATCTCGCGCACGAAAGAGCCAAGAACGCGCGGCGCATCGCCCGGGCATCGACCTGTCGTCATTTCGAGACTGACTCCGGATGGATCTCGCATTAGTCGTCTCACGGATTGAGAGGGACAGTTACGAGCAAATAAAAAAAATCGCTTAGAACCAATACGAGTTTTAAACGAGCGCAGTTTATCGCGATATCGCCCGCGGTGAATCCGTTTTAACACGGAGTAAAAAAAAAATAAACGCGTGAGATTTGAAAGAGAAAAAGTCGTCGTCCTTATGTTACTCGGGCAGATGGATTATAGTAACGCAAATGAAGATACGTACAGAGCGTTCGATAATTGGCGTACTGCTGGCGAACGTGGCGATGTTGTTTGTTGAAAACCATGCATGATTAATTAATTAATTTTTTCACGGATAAATTTAATCCATCGCGATTTTCGAAATGTTGACATATTTTTCAAGCAACTTCGTTTAATATTTATCCAGAAAAATAACAATTTATCATCTACTGCACTGAGAGAAAAAACGGTTGCAATTATCAGAATCTATTATCAGAAATTATTAGTATTATTAACTAAAATTTCGTATCATCTATGTATAATTTTTCTATGTAGAACTAAATATAATTATTATGATTGAACATCAGAGTAATAAAATGAAACTCTATAAAAATGAAACTCTTAATCATAATTATTGTACCATGCAATTATCACAAATATTAAACATTTTCTCTTTAAGATGATATCATATTTATTTGCGTTCCCGAAGAGTACAGTCTATAAGACGTCTTATTTTTGCGTAATTGTGAAAATTAGTGATACCTTTATTAACAGAAATCTTAACAGAAAATCATTTTCGGTTCTCGACAAAAAGATACCGCCACGTGCACCACGAGCGATCCGTATAATGATCACCGTTCACACAAGTTCTCCTTGTTCAAAATAAAATAAAACATCGTATGAAGATTGTTGTGCCCATGCCGATGGTCGAGGTGCACAGAGATGTAGATCGCATTTACATTGAAAATAGAAGCAGAGACGTTTTTCTTACCGAGTTCGCCGTTTACGAAATAGTACGAGTACGCTCGTATTATGTCGATGCCCGCACAAATGACGCCGACCTTCCGGGTTTCGAAGCAACGGAGGATACTCTTATACGCAGAATATAATAGCATGCATCTCGAAGGCGCGAAGAACGAAAAAAAAATTTTAAAAAAATAAAAAAAAAAACAAAAAAAAGAGAGAAAAGAGAGAAAGAGAGAAAACGACGGGGATGCCTTCTCCCATGCGAAACTGCATGCGCGTCTACCCAAGATCTTACACACGTACGCATTTTATGTGTTACAGGCATACATACACACGCACCACATACACACAGACGTACATACACATGCCGCATGCCGCACACGTACGTACGAAACGTGCCTAGTAATTAATACTCCGGCTAGTTGTGAAACGAACAAAACCCGAGAAATAACACAAAGTAGTATATATTATACATAAATATATATAAAAAAAAAGAAACATCGGCCAATCAAAAAATACACAGAGAAAACCTTCAGTCCAATCCTTATAGTAAGGCAATATAATATATTAAGTATATAGTACGGACTCAGACTCATATAGATAGATAGATATATAGAGAAAAAGATAGAGAAATGAGATGGACAGAGACAGACAGAAAAGATATATATATATTGTATATATAGATATATAATATATGTATATCGATTCTTCAAAGTGTGTTTTCGATGGATGGGTATGTACATACATATACACAATAGAAAAAGAGAGAGAGAAAAAGAGAAACAGAGATAGAAAAAGAGAGAATGTGATGGAAAGAAGAATGATGAATCTTGTACGAGGGCGGAGTACGCATATCGAATGTGTGAGACGCGATAATAACATTCGATCGGTATCGGTGAAATCGAAAGAGGTGATTATGTGGTAGCAAACCGTCGACAGGAGCAAATACGACATAGCGTGGAGAAACCAGACATATAAGAAGCCGAAATATTATACAAATTAATAAGAGGGAGCTAATTAGATC